TTCTTAACATGTTCCTTACTGAATCAACTGTTATGGCTCATCCTTTGTTCTCTGATCTTTTGCTGTTCTTTCAGGTTGGGTGACTCCTGTCTTGCTTTTTCTCCTTTCAAGGTATGACTTCCATCCCTTCCTTCATCTCTGCCACCCTAGTGGCTCCCTGTCTGCATGTGCTGTCTCATGCATAATAGATAATGGGGCACATGGCTTCCATTTCCATCTCTGTTCAAGGGCTTAAGTGCCTCAGCTGTAGATAAAGTGTTGTATAGAACCTGAAAACCTTCCTTTAAGTGTCATCGTCATCATCATATCCCATCCCTTTTCCCTCAACGAACCCATTGCAGCTTGCCTAATCCTCCTCTTCCTCTACCTCTTCCCCATTTTATTCTCACAACAAACCTGTGCGGTACGTTAGACTGAGGGTCAATGACCAGGCCAAAGTGACCTTCATGGCCATGTGAAGCCTATAACCAGGGTCTTCTGAGTCCCAGTCCTGCACTCTTAACCACTTCAGTTCTCTGGATGATTTATAAAATATAATCTTCATGACTCATCTACATGGGTCAATGTGCAGATTTGGATTTCCCATCTTTTCATCATGTCTTTGTGCTAAATTTTGCTTCATCAAGAAGTTCAGAACTGGGAGATGGAGGAGAGTAGAATGGGGCCCTATCAATCTCAAATGCCATGTGGGCCTCTGGAGGGACCCAACTGGCTGGTGTACTTGATCACTCCCTAATTCCTTATTTTATTTTCAACATCCTTCTGCCTCCTTTTCCCTTTCCTGCCTTCAAAGATCAGATTGATTGTCATGTCCTGGGGCATGGCTGAGATTTCCTCAATGAATATAGTCTGTTAGGATGTAGATGCATACAATGCTCTGCTCTGTTCTTTCACTCACATTTGCAGCACGTGCTCTGACATGTTAGATCCTGCAAAATTTTATTTATTATAATGTTTTTCAGCCCATGAAATGGGTTTATGTGTGTAATCTTACTAATGGGAGCTGCTTTTAAAGCTCTTAGCCCAATGGGGGCCAGGAGTGGTTTCTGTTCTGGTCATACCTTCCTTTCCCATGTAACCTGGTGAGGCAGCATGGCTTCAAACTGAGAGACAATGAATGAGCCAATAAAAGTGCCATGGCTAGTCAGTCATTAGTGAAGTGGGATCCTAAAATTTGAATCAGGAATAGGGAATGGGGAGCAAGGACAGTGTCAGAGCCTAAATTAGGGGAGCCAAGTGCAAACTCAAGGCTGGCACTAAGGTTTGAAACCTAGCAAAGAACCCACAAACGAGCTGATTTTCATCATTGCAGCCTGCTTTTTGACTGCCCTCTCAGTTGGACAAGGCAGCCCTGTTGGCATGGAGAAGGAGCAGTGGCTGATGCTGCCCTCGTGGTGATTGCCCCCTTGCATGGTAAGCCAGCGGGTCGTAGCACCAATGAGGGAGAGCTGCAGCAGCAGGCTGCAATGCTGGTGAGAAGGCGGACTCCTTAGGCAGAGGAACCATCTAGCCTTGCAAGCATAGGAGTGTCTTTCCTATGAACCCTCCAAAGGCTAGAACAGGCACTGCTAGGAACAAGGACAAACCTTGCTGGATCAAACCAACAGTCCATCTCACCCAATATCCTGTTTCCAATATCTGGCCAGATTCCACTAGGAAACCACAAGCAAGGCATGGCCACAAGAACCTCCCTTCTCAGTCCCCAACACTGGCATTCAGAGGTATAGTCCTTCCAAACATGGAGGTTCTCTTGAACTGTTATGGCAAATCACATTCTCCATAAATATGCTTTTCTAAAAAGCTGTCTAGCTACCGGCCATCAGCGAGGGGGAGAAAATCGAAAAAAGAAATGGCACAGTACGTTAAGTATTTTTGCCACTTCTCTTGTCTCTTCAAAGTCATCTCTCCCGACCCTTGATTCCAGTAATAGGATGGGAAATAAAATGCCTTTCTATGTACTATTTTTATAACCCTCTTTCATGTCCCAACCTGCATTCCTTAATAATTTATCCAAATTTTGAAAAGTCCTTTCCCCTTCGAGAAAGGTGTCCCAACCTTCTTGATTGATTTGCCTTTACCTTTGAAACTCCATCACACTTCAGTGCCATTGAGCGGGTCATATTACTTAAGCTTGTTTGTCCCTCTAACAAGAGAGCCTTCTGTTGTTTTTCTCCAGCTTGCTTGGCTGGCTTCTATGGCAAGGGTTGCGCCGAGCACTGCGAATGCCCTGCTGGAGTCCCGTGTAACCATGTGAGTGGAGCATGTGGCTGCCCTCCAGGTTTTGTGGGCAGCAGTTGTGAAAGGAGCAAGTCCTTTCATTGGTTTCTGTCACCAGGGAAGTGAGCCCAAAGGTTGCTGCCGGCGTGCTCTTGCAGGGCCCCAAGCCAGTCATGGCAGCCATATGCGAAGCATGCATTCTGCATTTGTTGTCCAAGGAATGCTGGAAAATCAGCCCTGAGGCACAAAGGGAATGGTTTAGATGTGGTTACCTAAACTTTCTAGCCTTGCAGTTTGCTTGTGGAAGCTGAAAATGACTGAGGCCCACCAGTCAAAAACAGTGGCCAATGAAGATGTAGTGTGGCATAATCAGCTGATGATTATTGGTGCCATTTTTATTATCCATTCCCTCTTTTAAAATGGCTGAATTGTGTTTATTTATTTACATATTTCAGTTTTATACAACCTAACAGCCAATGGTTTGCAACACTTCCTACAAATAGAATACCATAACATCAAAACAGAAACATTTTAACACAAATATTAAAACAAACTGAAGTAATGTAGAATGAAGGGCAGCTCTGTAAAAATGCATGCATATCCAAGTATATCTTGAAAAGTCTTAGCATAAAGGGTTCTCTTAACCTGTGAGGAAGATCTGAACCAGTAAGCATGCCTCTATAGAAGCAAGCAAGGTTTATCAGACAGACAATGCATGTAGGGCAGAGGCCAGACAACTCTCTGCCTGGAATATAGTTAACGGAGCTTATATACAATTTCTGTTTGCACGAGTGCAATACAGATGAGCTGATACAGAGAAAGCTACATTCTGACTAAAACAAGCTCAAAGCCATTTACAGAAAGGGGCACTCACCCAGCAATCACACTCCAAGTTCAGACAGTTTTATCTGTTTTCATTTCTCTTATCTCAGTTTTTCTCTTTCATGTCTTGCTTTGAGTTTGGTTGCTTCTGACTTATAAGCTTTTGCTGTTTGGCCTTCACATTTCCTAATAAGAAGTTGTCTGCTTCAGGAGAAAGCCATTGTTTCATCACTCAGCACCAAAAGATAAAGGTTAGCACCAGGTGGACTTCAGTGGACAGGCATTCCATAGATGGGGGACCTCCACTGAAAAAGCCTTCCTTCTTGTTGCTGCCCTCTGAGCTTTCTTGGAGTTGGCTTTCAGAGGCAGGCCCCACATGTTGAATGTAGTGTCTGAGTAGACTGCAATTAGAAGAGGCACTCCATCAAGAATTGTGGTCCTAAGCTGTGCAACACTTCATAGGTTAAAAGCAACATCTTGAGTTGAGCTCAGAAGCATACAGGCTGCCAGTGTAAGTGGGCCAGAAATGTTCTTGTATGTTCTTTGCCACAGCTATTTCCTTACGGGAGGGAGTTTCAGCTCTTCCCAAGTTAAGGACAAACATTTTGCTCTGGAGTATCATCAGTCAGAAATAATTACAGGAATAATTCCCCAATCCAGAGGCAGAGTCTACCATGGGGCCTGTGACCACCAGTGTGAACATGGACACCTCATTTATTTATTTATTTATTTAGGGAACTTCTATGCCGCCCCATTCACCGAAGCCTCGGGGCGGCTCACAATCTGCCCACAGAGCTCCTTTTAGTGCCCACAGAGCTTCTTGTCTAATGCTAAAGAAAGAATGCTAAAGACATAAGGAAAAAAAAACTATTTCTTAAGGATATTTTAAACTACTTTATTGGGAGTTTGCCCAGTTGCAAAGTAGCTGTTCTGTTCTTTATTCAGGTTAATTTTTAAAATTTGGACTTGAAAGAATGGATTTGTATTTGTGAGATCAGACCACACTTTTCCGTTAGTATCACCAGTTTGCTTCCTGGAAGATGAGTACTTGTGACAGTGGGCATGCTTTCCATGGTAGCCATCATATGGTCATAGCACAGGGAGGTCAAGCAAAGAGGCAGTGAGTAGTTATACCCAGCACCCTGAGATCCTTCCCACAAGTGCTGCTAACCCACCATTTGTCCCTTAACCTGTACTTACGACACCCATCCCTATGCCCCAAGTGCAAGACCTTGCATTTATCGTGCATTGAATGCCATACTGTTGCACTTGGCTCACTTCCATAGTCTGTCCAGATCCTTGTGTATCCAGAGTGCCTGCTCCTCAGTTGAAAATACCGTCATCGTCACCATCATTGTCATCTCTATACTGCCCCACAGCTGAAGCCCTCTGAGGAATCACACATTGTACACCCGTGTGTAGATAAGCCCTGAGTAACCTGGATGTTTTTCCATGGCCAGTAACTCTACATTACTGCAAATAGGCACGTAAAACATGTACTTGTATTTGTGGTAGGCAGCACCACCCATAACATAAACCACAAAGCTTTTGTGTGGGCCCCCAGGACAGAGAGAAACCCAAGGAAGGACCTGCATAAACATTTAAAACTCACTTGAAGCTGTAAGGCATCTGCAGAGGAGAGAGTCGCCACACATATGTGGGGAGGGGACTCTCCTGAGTTTATTATTTTAGTCGATTTTCCTTGACATCAACCTATGACTTTCTCTAAGTGACAAGAAAATTGCAACTGGCCCTTGACAGTTGGGCACAAATTGACTGAACAAAACAAAATCAAACTGCAAAGTAATCCCCAAGCAAACGTAATAAACCCAAAGTCCCAGAGGGCAACATTCTTCTGCAGGCAGTGGTCTTATTGAATAAATTCTACCCCGCTCTTTGTTTGAGTGCTATGTTTATCAAGACAAATGTAATTCATCGGTTTACATTTCCTCTTCCCTCAGCTTGTCTGCCAGGCACATACGGAGAGAACTGTAACCAAGTGTGTCAGTGCTCTGGAAAGAATGAAGAGTGCCATCACGTCACAGGCCAATGCGGCTGCCGGGCGGGTTACTACGGGATCCATTGTGACCTTCGTAAGTGACGTTCTTTCTCCATCACTGTCCCAGACAAGCGTGTGGTTGATTGGCTAGGAGTGGATTTAAGAATCCCATCCTTTTAATGAAAACTTGAGACTTTTTTAGACTTCTGAAAACTTCAGCCTTCAGAGAACATTTAAAAGAAAGTTTGTAAGCAGAAGGGTAGAAACTCTTGCATGTAATGAAGTGCATGCCACTGTAGCTGAAGAGAAAGGTTTAGGTTGATGTCAATTTTTGATATCAAAAGTTAAACAAACTGGTGGAAGGTCTGAGTACCTTTCTGGATTGATGCAAAGCATTTTTATTCATGGAATTATTTTGGTCATATTATGTTTTAGGATGTGTTCTTGTTTGTCTCCTATGCATGTGTACAGTACATTGGAAGTTAAGGACCATTTTGTTAATGCTGGCTTTTGTGGGAAGGAGAGTCAGCATATTTGCAATGTTTAACCAGCAAAGTTCAGTGGCGAGAGCCTTGGTTTCAAATACATGGTCAACAATGACCTTCCTTGTTGATATATCCCCAGTCTCAGTTCTCCCTGTGCAAAGTGGGAAGTCATAGACTCAGTTCTTGAATTCGTTTTGATGGGGTCATCATAAAATGACTTTATTCTATCAATTCCACATAGTTAATATTTCTTGCGTGTGTGTGTAAGAATACACTACTTGGTGTAGTATCAGCTGGTACTGATCAAATCTAATAACTTCATTCTTCTGGTCTTTCCCTTGACATAAGAAATAACTGTCCCCATGCAGACAATTATATATGTAAAAGTTCCATATGAACTCAGACAAATAAAAGCAAGTTATGAAAACTATACTATTTGAGAACTGAATGCAGAAATTAGACCTTGTGGATCTGCAATCAGTTTGAGAACCTTAACATTTTCATCCAGAAAGGGGGAAATGACACATGGGGGAAGTTTATTTAGCTGGACTTTTTTCTGGCTGAAGTAGGATCTGCAGGAACAGATCCTGGATGCTGTATTCATAGCATGTGGATGATGTGCATCCCATTTGATCCCAATGTACTCTAGATCGCATGCTTGAATATGTTCAAGAAGAGATGAAAATGCACAACTTCAGCCATTCTGTGCTGTTAAAATGCTAAAGAAATTATATGCGCAGCGAGAACCTGCAATAATGCACACATCAGGAATTAGTGGAAATTTACAAATTGCAGTATTATGGATTTGGCTATCAGTTTTGAAAATAAGTTTGGTATAGTATATATCTGTCTGGCTATTTATATTCCATGCATTTTATTGCTTTAAGAAGCTCTAAACCTCACTAAGCCTTTGGGACAGGGTGGGGCATACATTGAAACAAAAGAACTGATTTATAGGCAGGCGGAATTTATTGCAAAGCACATTCTGCTGGGAAAAGGAGTCCTTTCCAATTATCCATTTACAGTTTTATTAGTGCTAAAAGCATTAATTGATGGATTGGTATGATTAATCAGTGCATTCATCACAGACATTAAATGATGTAAAGTTTTGAAACAATGGACTGAAATTAATTATATCTCTGTTAAAGGATGTTTAATACACATAGGAACATAGAAAACAAGATGTGTGCATCACCTTGATTTAGTCAATGCACTTCCCATGAAATTCCTTATTGATATATATTTCAGTTAGTAAATATGAGAGTTTCTACTCTCATATCAAAACAGAGAAATGGAGCAAGTCAGGGAGGGCCTCCCAGGCCATCTAGTCTGACCCCCGAGAAACCACTGAGGGCAACCACTGAGAAAGCAATGCAAAACTTTCTCAGGGCTTACTCTTAAACTGTGGAATCACCTGCCTAGAGAGATGCATTAGATATCCCAGAGTGCTACTTTCAAGAGGGAATTAAAGATGTATCTTTTCCAACAAGCCTTCCCAGACTTGTTTTATGCTTCTTTGTAGTCTAGATTTGAAATATTGTTGGTTTTAAACTTTTGCAAACCACCCAAAGTCTATGGGAATGGGGCAGTATATAAAAACCAAAATAGATAAATAAACTGGAGAATACAGCTCCAGAGAAGTATCTGTAGAAATTTTAATGGAAGTTACAAGAGTGGCAGTTTCTTGAAAGATGGATGGATTTCACATGCCACTTGCCTCTTGACGACATAGTGCATAACCCTATTATGCAAGATTCACACTAACCCACCATTTATTTAAGGAGATAAGGCTTCCAGGGAACGGAGTTTAGTTTGTTAAAGCGGCTTTATACATTTTAAAAAATATAACCTATAAACTCTAATTAAATGATAACATATCTTTTTTTTCCCAGTCTTTTCAAGCTTATTCAGCCTCAAGTCCATAAGTTAAATCTGGTATGGTTGATGTCCCAAGTTGGCAAGCCATGCTCACTTTCCCCAGCCATTGGTCATTTAGTGCTTTCCCAGTCTTTATCCAAGGTTCTCCCATTCTTAAAGGCTGAAATGCATGTCGTTGTCGTCATCGTCATCATCATCTCCTTTCTATACCACCCAATAGTTGAAGTTCTCTGGGTGCTCACAACAATTCAAATAACTCAGCCTTGTAGGGACAACGAGAGCTATTTTGGGAAGGTTTTGTTGCCCTTTTAGCCTTAATCTAATCCCACCACTGAAATGCACACCCTTGAAAGCTTTTTCTGAAATTGAATTGGATCCTTCATCTGAAAGAGGTTCAACATTCCTGCTTCATCCGGATGACCCTCAGATTTTTGGTGAACTTGGCAACCAGACCAAATTTGTAATATCCAGGTCACAGATCAGGGAAGAGGCAAGGTCTTGGCATTGATGTCATGCCAACTTTCAGAGCCACTCAGCAGCAAGACCTCTCCTGCTTCCTGAGGGCCTTCAAAGGTCAGCATGGCTGTGGGAAAAAGCCCCGCCCCTTCTCCTGCATGGTGCTCACCATATTTGTGATTTCTCTTAACTATGACTTAAGCAGACTTAAGCATCTTTACTTAACCCTGTAAAGATGACATCCCTTCTTAAAACTGTATTCTGAGGGAAAATAAGGACAGTATGCTGGAAAGAGGAAACAGCAACTGAACAGAGAATTGATATGTTCACAGTATCTCTGATACAGGAAAATAAAACTGTTTCTTATCTTACAGTTTCTGAGGTGCTGTGAATGTCTGAGCTTCCTGTCCTTTCTCACCATAGTGACAAAAATTGCTGCTTCAGATTTATAGACCACTTTTCTGCTTTTAAGGTCCTCAAAATTGGAAGCAGAAAGAGCACATGAGGTTGCAGGGAAAAGACCTTGGGAGGAAAATATGATGTAAATGGGGTGATGGCTTATATTGACTTGCCCTAGCAAAAAGTCTCAGGAAACCTTGAAAACAAGCACACAAATTAATAGGCTAAATTTTACTCTTAGTCTTGTAACAGTTTTTTTATGAAGAATTTGCTACATCCTTCTTAATGCATGCCGACTAACCCTGAAAAAGTTTCCTGAAAGCTGGTTATAAAAAGGACATGCTGCAAGTGACAATAAATCAAAAGCAATCTGTAAAGTCAGCTTTTAGATTGCACGGCCTTCATAGGAACAATCAAATTAAAACAAATTGCTATCTTGAATTGAAGAATGGAGAATATCCTGAAGGACGTATTGTTGGTTGGCCAAGCCCTCCTTAATAATCACTTAGGAGGGAAAAATCTGCAGAGCTATATGCCTAAGAATGAGTTTTTAAGACTTCAGTTACATGGTTTGTATAGTGGAACAAATGTGGGGCCTGATTTAAAAAAAAACCTGACTGATGTGATTAAACAGAAAGATATAATTTGTATTAACAGTTAAATTTGGTATTTGCTTCTTGGTCATATCCTCTTGTAAGAATAACAGTAAAATACCTTCCTTTCCCTTCTAACTTGAATTTTGGCAGTCTCTGTTATTTGCTACATACATGCTAAGAAGAAAGCGCACTCCAAGAGTAGAGCTTTTATAGTCTGCTTCCTTCTTTAATAACTGATACCAGAGGAATATGTGGAATTTCATCCCAGGGCTAAAGGAATACTCATAATGAAGAAGATGCCTTAGTCAAACTGTTGTTCCATAAGCTTCAAGGTTGTCTGCACTGACCAGCAGCTGCTCTTCTATTCCTATTTGGAATTGCTGGGATTTGAACCTGGGACATTTGGAATACAAAGCATAGGCAGTTCATCCATAGACTTACATCTCTGGGTTGTGCAGCATGTGATGCCTTTACAGCAGCAGAATGTCTACACAGGCAACAGTGGAAAAGCACTGATGTGACCGGGGGTCCAACCTTGATATGAAATGGCCCATTCACACCTGCAAGTCAGTTCTTGATGTCCATTTATCAAATGATGGGGACACAAAACTGCATGCACCATTGAGATGGTTTCTAATCTTCTTCAGTAGAAAGAAATGCATTCATCTGATATCCATTCACTAAGAGGAAGGAGGGGTGTGCTTTCAACAGACCTTTTCAGCCACTGCTGAGGGAGTGGAGATAAATGACTTTGAACTGAAGTTGCCCAAATATTTCACGATCGAGTCCTGTAGGCACAATCAGCTAAGCACTGCTTGTGTTTCATTCTCTCTAATGAAAAGGCCTTTTATATGCCTTCCAGAAGACCACCAGTGAAATACAGCAACGATGCATGCATGGGGATTCATTCATTCATTCATTCATTCATTCATTCATTCAACCCTCCTGGCAGGGTTGTCTCTATCAAGGTGACTTAAAACAATCTATAATGATACCTTATAGCCCTTAAAAGCATGACGATGCTAAGTTCTGGGGAGTCTTAGGATGCTGCAAAGAAGAAGCAGCTGCTAGAACCAGGAAAATAGATGTTGCGAGAAAGCAAAAGTCGAATGCGTGGGAGAAATCGAGTCATGCACTTTCCCCACTGCCCATCTGATGCTGCAAAGGGTGTGATCCAGAACATAAGAGCAACTAGAGGAGCTGCTTAACCATTTCGCTTCCTTTTCCCCATCTTCGTGTTCCAACATATGCAGTCCCAGTATCTTTTTCCATGGAAAGAAAGCCATCATGTGAGAAGGTGGCATTTTTTAAATGGAAAAACCGTGGCAGAGAGAAGAGTTAACCAACATCTTATCTCCCAACCCCTGAAAACACACACACACACACACACACACACACACAGAGAGAGAGAGAGAGAGAGAGAGAGAGAGAGAGAGAGAGAGAGAGAGAAGCCACTGCTTTTCATTAAAAAGACACCAGAAAACTGTATGGCTGCCTTGTAATCTACTTCAGTCTTCAGAGTAAAGAATATTAGTCTAGATCAACCTTCCTACCCTGGGAAACCATATGCAATGGGGATGATGGGAAATTGTAGTTCCACACCTCTGGAGGGCACCGGGTTGGGGAAAGCTGGATTAAATGGACCAACAGACTGATCAGCTAAAGATAAATCAGCTTCATATATACCAGATGGCCAGTGCTTGGTTGGTGGAGAAACTTGTACATTTAACTAAGGAGACGCCGTGTTCAAACCACTAAAGAAAAACCGCCTTAGGCTGATACAGTAAAGGACAAAATTGGACTTGTGTACCATCTCCAGAGTAGCAGCCCCCATTATGCAGCTTAAAAACAGGTTCAATACAGAAAGCCTCTCCCAAAGAACTTGAGCTGGACTGTGTCCAGCCAGCATGTGGTTGGATATGGTTGGAAACCTTTCCTGGCAACAATTGCTATACTTATAGTACTATGAGAGGGGGAAAAAGCAGCAGAAGAAATTATCCATAAAAGGTGTAGCTGGCTGGTAAGCAGAGCCTTTGAGCCGCCAAGAGCAACTAGGCTTTCATGTTCTCGAATTTTGGAGTGAAGAATTGAAAAAGTGTCTTGGCAGTGACCAAAGGAAGCAGATAGCTGAGCAATAAGAATCGCTTTATTCAACCATAAATCAGGGCAAAGACAAATGCCTGATCTGCAGCAGTTTAAGAAAAAGAAAACTCAACATCTAAATTTGCTGTGGCGAACAGTAAACATCACAGTATCACTCAGCCATATCCAGAGAAAAGGCACATTGAAATTGGGTGTTTGAACTGGCGCGGAGCAGCGGTTGAGGGTGAGATGTCCTTTTTGTGAGGAACGTGGGGCTGCTGATTAACATGGCAGCCCTGTGTTATTCTCCTTCCTGCTGCCTAAGATGTGGAAGGAATGTGGACGAGACAGAATGCACTGCAAGGTATGGGGACATGGATGCATTCACTTAAGTGTAACGGACAGGGAGACAGAACTTGGCAAGGGGCTGTGGTCTTCAGTGGGCAGCCCTGGGTTCTTCCGCATATGTCATTTCGTCTTAAGCCCACAAGTGACTGTGTGAATGCATCCATGCAAAGATTGGCATTTGTTGTGAAGTGGGGATGGATCGTCCTCAGGATATTTCCCCCTGAAACAAATGCCTGTTTTGGAAGTAGGGGTTTCCTCAGGACTCCCACAAGGCAGAAAGGGGTAAAATTCCCTCTCTGCACCAGCATTTAGTACATCAGTAATCACCATCTTCCGCAAGTATCCCAAAAGCATTATCTGTGTTTCTGAAAAATTTTAATGTAAGATGCAAGGAAGCATTTAGCATCATAGGTAGTTGGTTTAGACTCGCTTAGTTCAGAAATGCACCGAGATCTTCAGATCACTGGATTCCCGAAAGAAGCATTTACGAGGACCAGGAAGCAAATATTTGCAGGGGGGAGTGAGTGAGGTGCTATATTTTAAAAAACTGGCTTTTTTCCCCCCTTCATTTTGTCTTTTCTGCCATTTTGCATAAATGCCAATATCCACCATAGCTTAATACATGTGCAGGATATGTTGGTGCCACTGCGACTATTCAAACAGCAGCAGGTGGTCACTGCGGCTTATTGTGATGGGTGAACCCAAGCAGGCTGGGTTGTTACTATGGTGAACCTGCTACAGCCTATGGGTTCTAGGTGGTTTGTTACCCATGGCTGGGTTCACATGTCATCATAATCCATGATGACCACAGTATGGCAGCTGGCACATGCTGCAACCTACCATGGTTTATTTAACCCATGGAGGGTACCGGCCATCATGCGCACTGGTAGCAATGGTGCAGAGAAGAAACTACTTTTCCAGTGCATGTCCAGGTCTCTGTGTCTCTCCTTTCCCTAATATTTGTTTCCTGATCCCAGTTGCAGCTTCTGTCTGGAATCCATCTAGCCATGGTGGGTGCCACTGATTGTGCAAAGGTGGGCAAGCACCATCCTGCTAAAAATCCACAGGCACAGAAGGGAAAATGTCCTTTCTTGAAGCAGGCATGATCTCTGTTTGCCTCTGCTTGAAATTGTAGTTAATGGTGGGTTTTGAATGTGCTTTTCTTTGGTTTGGTTTTTGCAAAATGTTTAAAAATGTTGTAGGGAAAACCCCAGCTGCATGCTACTGCTGTGAAAGGATTTAAGAACTGTTGGTCATGGCAAGACTAATCGGGGCCAGAAGGAAGAAATCAGGAAATGACTTCGAGGACTGGCTGCCATTCCTGCAGTTCCCAGAAAAAACATAAGACAGATACACAGGAAACTGTTAAATTAGAAAATGTCTTTATTAGATAACTGGCAGTTGGAAGCTGAAAACTTCTTTTTTAATGGACATTCAGCCTACAAAAGCGGCAGGTCTGTGTGAAAACTGGTCCTTACCATTTTCAGACAGCACATTTTGGAAAAGTGGTAACAGACCAGGATGCTGGGTTTAATGATAATTGAGTTCAATATTGCCACAGACGTGTATCATCCATAGACGTTGCTCCCGATTGAACTTAAATAAACAGCAAGTTAGGAGGATAAGCCTTCTAGTAAAACGAAAGATTACATGAATTACCGCAACCATTTCCAGTCATGGAACAAAACTGAGTTGGCCTGAACTGGAAAACAATTCCACAAACTTTGCCAAAATGAAAAAGCCAGGGAATTGGGGGGGGGGGGGTGAAGATCCAGATTCAGGTGGCTGATGCAGAGTAATTAGCAAGCTATTTAAACAAAAGCTAGCTAGTTGACCATAAAGGAAGTGGGGTTGGAGAAAGAGACATTCATCGAAAGACAAGCCAAATGAGGTCATTATATTGAGGGTGTGTTCTATCCGCTTGGTAGATATTTAAAAGGATGCTAGAGTGATTCACTGTTCTTTGCCAGGAAAACCAAGATTTGAAATGCATGCACACAAGAACCTCCTTGACTTTTATGCCCTTTTCAAACGGAGGGGGAAAGTGATCCAATCAGTTTGGTTGATGGGGTGCTGGCGGTGTACCCTTGCAGCAGAAGGAATTCCTAATGTGTTACCATTGCTCAGGCATACTTCTAGAAAAATATTTCCCCTAGAAAATGCACTCTGCTCAAATGAGCTTGGCCCTGAATGATCACAGCAGATGAACAGGTTTTTTGTTTTCCAAGCTACACAGATGATTTTATATTCTGAAGAGGGAGAAAGCATGCCAGCAAAGGGCATGCTTAAAGTACAAAACATCCAGGATATAGACGTGCATACTTTTGGTAATGCTTATGTTTTGAAATGCCTACCCCGAACAGTATGTATTTCAGGCAGAGAGTAAATCTGCTCTGTAGAGAACACTTATTCAAAGGGAGAGGTGTAGGAGCCATCTTGATCCTAGATGTGTCTGTGAGTACTTTCAGGATTAATGTGTCAATGGAGACCTGCTGGGCCCCTACTGGGCCCCCAGAATACCTTTTGATAGGTAAGAGTGTTATTTTTTCATCTTAGAGTTCACAAAACTTGTCTTGGCTCATTAAAAGCAAGAGGTTAGTAGTATAAAAATCCTACTGGATTGGAAAATGACAACCAAGCAAGAAAGGATGAAGGAAAACCCATTTGTCTAACTCGGGGACTGCTGCAAAAGTTTACCACCTATACATTATGTCCCAGCTGCAGATTTCCCTATATGATCTGTTCCGCAGCTGAGCTCTGGTTGAGAAGAAAGTACTGAGGGGAGTGGGCTACGGAAATTGCAAAACATTTGCCTCATCTGTGCTTCTTAGAACAGCCTTCCTCAAACTGACAGACGTGAGATGTGTTGGGCTGCAGCTCTACTGGTTCTCAGACAGCATAGCTGTGCTTAAACCTCTGTCCTACCTATGCTGTCAAAACTCTTGCTTTATATGTAACTGCAGCAGTCTCACAGTTGCAAACTTCATACTCTGGTCTATGGTTTCATTTACAACTGGTGTTTTTCTGATGTGAACAGGATGTCCAAAAGGTACATATGGCCCATTGTGCAGGAAGACATGCCATTGTCTGAATGGAGGGCACTGTGACACCATGACGGGAACCTGTGACTGTCCCCCTGGCTTCATTGGAGCAGATTGTGGTAAACGTACGTGCATACTAACATAAGAAGAAACCAGAGGCTGATCCGTTTCCTTCAGTGGTCACTTAGCGGTTCCTTACATGATCGTGGCCGTGAATGCTGGCGCTCAACCATAGACTTTCCATTGAAATGTCCAGAGTCAGTCTTACATAAAGTAGAGGAGAGTCCAATTCTGTGTGCTTCTTCTTGATGTACACCAGACTTTAGCAAGTTCTCTGCCGGGCATGCCCTGTGCAAGACTTGCTGAGCACCCCAAGCAAAGTGGCTCTCTGTCAGAAACCAAAAGTTTGGCCAACGCTCCATTTGGCTGTCTAAAGCTGTGTGGGAGCGCCAATATGATATAGAGGCCAGGGTGTTGCAGATGGGTGTGGGACGCTCTTCGGCTTACTGGGTGGCTTTGGACAAGTCACCATCAGCCTATTGCTTCAAAGTACTTCTGGATTTTCCACCCAGTGAAATGTAATAGAAAACATTGCTTAATTTTTACTTGGGATAAAAAAAGAGCTGATGAGAAATTGAGAACATGGTTCTTGTGCCTGAGGGTAGTTTCATGAATGCAGTCTGGGAGTTGGTTTCCATGTGGGGGTTTCCATCACACAGACAGGGGCGCATCGGGCAGGAATACTGCATCCCTCTGGTTTTTCTGAGCAAACAGCACACAGTAGTCTGGGCGACAGTTCAGAAAAGTGTGTGCCTCTTTTCATCCTGAGCTATGCCCTGCAGGTATGTATATGTAAGAAAATTGGGAAAGCCACCTATGCACAGACTTACACAGCAGCTTTTCCCTGTTCTCCGGGAATCTTGGGGTGGTTGAATGTCTTTCAACCTGAGGGCCAAATCCCATTTCAGAGAAGCTCTCTGGGGCTGCCTTCCAGTGCTGTGTGGGGCCAAAACACCAGGATATTTTAGCTTTTGGTGCCCTGGTCCCTGAGGTTCTGCACCCCTGTCATACTTACGGAGCAGGGAGGAAAGATTAGGATCCAGACCACATGTTCATTGGAGCAGCCATGACAACTAAAGCAGAATAAGCCAGTATAAGTTTATTTTTGGTGTGCTTCACAGCTGCCCTTTTCCTTTTAACAAATTATTCCAGTTAAATGCTTGGGTTTTTCTTTTCAGCTTCACATCCATAGTTCAGGTGAATGTCACCCAGCAAGCCCCAGTAGATTAGAAGAGGTCATCTTCCCCAACAAAGGAGCTTGGGGACATTTCTCTACAGAACTGTCTGACATTCCGTGTTGTGTTTCTTTCAGCTTGTCCAGAGCATCGCTATGGGAAGGACTGCACCTTGTTCTGTTCCTGCAGGGAAGGCCGGTGTGATCCAGTGACTGGCAAATGCCACTGCCCACCCGGCCGACTTGGACCAAATTGCCTCCAATGTATGAGAAAATTAATTATGACTTTATAACTGTATGAATAACTGTGAAATCTAAAGAGATGGATTATCCCTTGAAAGGGAATGGTCAGGGTATTTCCAATCTGGCAAGCACTGCTCGCAAAATTTCAGTATGGCCACAAACAAATACTTCTCCTTTTCCTTCCCAACTGTTTCCTCCATGCTGACCACTTATCCCTTTCTCTCATCACTATTGTCTCCATCCTATCCACCCCCAGATCTCATCTAATACCACTGAGGTGTTTCCATAAAGTCAGCATCTATTCAAAAATAGTTATGGAGGTCCCGGTTCAAGGTCTACCATCCACAGAAAGGCAGAGCATTTTAACAGCACTAGCTAAGAACTAGACATGTCTAGTTATGTGATTCAGAATACACATTGTGGTTGGTAGAGACAGTACAGTGCAGTGCTTAGTGCAGGGATGGACAACAGGCAGCCTGAATGCAGCCTCCTATGGCCAGTTTTGCAGATCCATCAGCCACTGTTAGCTCTGCTTAATGTGCTGTAATGGTGGTTAAAAAAAAAAAAAGCAACAGTGGTTTCACAAGGAAACACTGTATACAGGGAGCACATGCCTTGTTTGCAAGCAGAATTGTAACTCCTAGAAACATTTCTGTTTACAAACAAGTCATGACTACCCTATGTGCTCTGTTTTGTTGCAAAAAAAGTTGTTCTTTGTTGCAGAGAATCCAGCAGTAATTTAGCCACAGCAGCCATTTTAGCAGCAGTGGCAATTTCCTGGGTGGGGTGCAGTGCAGCTCTTGGTAGGTTCTGTGTCGGCAATGCAGGTCCACAGCCTCCCAAGAGATGCTCAGCCCTGGCTTAGTGCAATCTTCCCCAACCTGGTGTTTCAAGATATGTTGGAGTCCAATGCCTATCATTCACAGGCAGCATGTCCAATAGCCATGCTCTCTCTGAGTGATGGGGGCTGTAGTCTTATGCATCTGATAGGCTCTCCAGTTTGGATTAGGTCAGCTTGGTGTGTGAGACTGAAACTGGTGAGACAAACTTCAAGTCCTCAGTCAGCCATAAAGCCCACTGGACCAGTCACCATCTTTTAGCTTAATCTACTTCACAGGGTTGTTGTGCGTATTAGGAAGGTGCTGAATTATATACACATCCTTGAGCTGCTTGAGGACAAGTTGGAATATAATGCAATAAATTATGGACAGAATCCTATGCATTAGACAGAAAAAAGCCGCAATGTAGGGCGTTTTCTGTCTAAATGTGCACAGGATTGTTCCCTAAATAAATCAAAGCACAATTTTGAATTAAATACTTCCTCTTTCATGTGGATCATACAGAAGGGCACATTTTGTGCAGTATATGAATGAGTAAGCTTTTACAATATTCTTTTCTTTATTTCTTCTCTGAATGTCAGTTTCCCAGATGAAGAATATTCATGGGAAAAGCCCAAAAGTCAGGGGTTGAGCACCTGTTCACAAATTCACTCCCTGGCATCTTGCTATTAGCTATGATCAGTGGGAATGTTTGGTGCTGTAGCCCAATGCATCTGGATGGGAAGGGGTTGGAGATGACTAAAACAGACCATACTCAGTAAGATAAACCAATGGTTTGTCTCAGCATGACAGTTTCATATGTTCCTATATTCAGAATGCAGTGGGAAGTTTGGATATCATCCCGTTAAGTATGGACTTGCCCAAGCTTTCTGTTTCCTTGTCTCTCTAAGGCAAAATTATAGTTTCTACACTGACTGCCAACCATAATACCTAAATATTATGAAGGTATTAGTGAGGGCTCCCTCATTCTTTTATTACACCCACTTTTTCTATTAGAGCAACTTGTTTTCTTTAAAAATGCACTTTGTTAATTTACTATAGTGTGTCCCCAGGGAAGATATGGCCCCAACTGTCAACTAAAATGCTTGTGTAAGAATGGTGCTGTCTGTGATCCTGCCAATGGAACTTGTGCTTGTGGACTTGGCTGGACAGGAAGCTACTGTGAGAAAGGTAACACTGCTATTTCCTCTTTCCTCCAGTGGGTAGATCACAGACCAGCCTTTGCCCACACAGATGCATGGGATGGCGTGGTACAATGCTATCACCAATTAGCAGGATCAGTGCAGATGATCAAGTCGCTATGAGCTGAAAAATCCTATTTGGACAGGGAGGGGTCATTGGAATTGGCTCACTGAGAGAGGGGTGCATGTGACAGGACCTCCAACTTCAGTCCACAATGTCACAAGTTTGGTTCCAAAGCTCAAGACAATCCTTTTAAAAAATGCAGTTCTTCTACTGAGCCTCCACAGATAACAGAACATTTTGAGCTCTAAATAGCCCTCTGCCAACACTGAAAAGCGAATCCTCTGCTCAGAACTCGAAACTTTCTGTCAATCCTTCCCTTTCCAATGAAACTTCTGGCTCCACCCTCAGGGTAGCTCTTGCTGCTTGAGGCCAAGATGGCAAGAATGGAGAAGCCCCTCCATTGAGCTGCTCATTTCTTCCCCGCTGGGTCAAGGACTGGGTCTTGCCCCTGCTTCCCCTCCACTCCTGAAAAACCTTCCTCCTTTTCAAAACAGGCTGACCTCACGCTCAGCCTGAGAAGCTTCTCTAGGAAACCTTGAAAGAACTTCAAAGGCTTAATCCCCCATCCCTTCATGACCCGCTCCTCCTCTCCTCCCACCAAACAGTCTGCAGTGTGCAAGAAACTGCCCTGCTGTCTACACACAACACCTTCTAACATGGCTGGGAAAATCCATGCCTGAAACTCTGCAGAGGCCCTGCCTGTCAATGTAGTCATAGATGGAGTACCTGTTACTATCCAGATGTTGGTGGACCACAGCTTCCCTCCGCCTCTTCCAGCAAAGACAGGACAGGTAGACTTTGTAGTTCCAACAACATCCAGAGGATGACAAGTTGCTTGCCCTGGGTGGTAACAGTGTCATACTAGATAGAAGAATATTCTGACTCAGAGTGAGGCAGTTTCCTAAGTTTTTAGAATTGCTGAAAACATTTTGTGAGATGATACAAACATGCAGCACGTAAGACTTTATGACAGAATAGATGTGGTTCATTACTAATCAGTTTGAAAACCTCCAGACAGTCGAAACGTTTTTGTTTATGATGTTCTTAGCTTGGTAAAACCACATGTTTAATCTGGAAGAAAACAAACTTCCTAGTAAGCAGCAAGATGAGAAGTCTTTCCCCTAAGTACATTTCTTAGACCTTCCCATCACCCTGTGACTTTATGGCAAGATTATCTTGTACAGTTTTTGGTTTGGTTGAGTAAAGGATTCTTAATTTCCCCCTCCAGAATGTGCTGTTGGAAAATATGGCTTTGATTGTCAGCTACAATGTGCTTGTCAGAATAATGGAACTTGCAACAGATTTACTGGCTGCTGTCAGTGCACAGAAGGTTATTACGGGCATTCCTGCGAATATAGTAAGTAATTAGTAATTAGCCCAAGGACAGAAGAGCAGACATCAATGACCTGATGTGGCAACATCAATGTACTTCCCATGTGGGGAAGGTGACAGAGTAGTTAACACTCTCCCATCCTTCTGAGGGGATGAACTTTGGAAACAAGGAGGGGCCTCACCTGAGACCCCAAAGTGGGCTGGAGAACCACTTTGTCCACAGGTAAAAGGATCCTCATTCCTGCTGAAATGCTAAGGATCTTGTTGTACTGTTGTTGCATCGTGCAGTCCCTGGACCTCATTGCACATCGTTGGGGCACCACCACTCTCAAAAGAATGACATCAAAACCGCAGGGCGAGTGTTCCTACCCGTTATAGAGGGGAAGGAGAAATATCAGCACTGCAGTCACATTTTCTGTTGCATCCTCACCTTGACTCACTGCCTTGTTCCTCCCAATAAGGAGAAGCCACAAGTGTCCCATGTTTCTACAGTCCTCACCCCTGCTGTAACAAAGCCTGGCTTTGAGTGCCTCTTCTCAGACAGTCCCAGAGCTAGTGCACACATGCATGTTCTTTGCTCTGTCACTGCAGATCAAAAGAATAGTTTAAACATGCAGAACACTTGTCTCAGAGTGAGCTACTGCATTTCCCACTGTATTCAGCTGTCAAGCAAAGAACATGCTGGGTGATAGATGCATGTATCTGTGAATTAACCCATAGATTGGATTGCTTGAAATGTTCTAGTCTGGCTCTAATGTCTACTTTTAAGGCTTCATGAGTTCTGGAAGACTGTTTCACTTCTGGACCAGCAGTAGCGCTTGTGGCTCTTCTGTGTAAAGTCTCCGTGTCATGATTTTGGAGAGCAGCTTTGTCCCCAGAGGTGTTAGGTGTGGCTCAAGGCATGTTAGATTGTTTTTTTTTTTTTTTCAGCATTCAAAGAGTATGGTGGTTGTACAATTTTACCCTGAAAAAGTTGTGGATTCTCAGTTATAATGAAGCCATTTTGTTTCTCAGCCTGCCCTTCTGGGTTTTATGGTCTCAACTGCCAGTACTCATGCAACTGCACAAACGGAGCAGGATGTCACACAGTGACTGGGCAGTGCATTTGTCCCCCAGGTTTCCAAGGTCTACAATGTGAAAAGGGTAAGAAGAGAACACAACTTGCCTATTCAGAACAATACAAATGCTGTGTTGTTCATACTATTAAAGATTGTTCCAACATTTTGTGGCCATATCTGACATCATCATCATCATCATCATCATCATCATCATCATCATCATTATTATAACATTTCTATGCCGCCCCTTGCCGAAACCTCGGGGTGGCTTACAACACGACATCAGACCTAACAATAGATAAGATGGCGGCATTAGCTAAGGTCCCAATCCATTTGGATCACGGTCACCTTCCACACTTAGAGAATTTCAGACATCCTATTCAGAATGGGAATGGCACAAAGCTTTGGATTTTCGCTGTGCTCTTCTTGCCATGCAAAACAGCTGGGCAGACCATGTAACTGTGGTGCTTCCAACCGGGTAGGAAGAAAGCTGAGATGCCATCAGGATAGTTCATGTTGTGGCAGTGGTGGTCTCTTCACCTTCTGGAATAGCCATTCAAACCCATCTCCAAGGTCACATTAATGACCTCAGCAAAGCACTTACCCCAGTCCTTTCTGCACCAGATGCAAAAGGAGCAGGAAGAGCATGCCAGAGTCAGGGTCCCAGTTCCAATATTGAAGCAAATTTCTGGGGTTAGAGCTGAGATGCAAATAATCCATGCTTGTTGTATAGCAGCCATAGAATTGCATTGTCCATGCTATTTAAATGCAAATTCTTAAATTCAATTATATCATCTTTATTATTGCACATATCATATATACTACAAATATTAATGACCTGTTTTCCAGGTTGTCCTCCTGGGAGGTTTGGGGACAAATGTCAGCAGCATTGTGAGTGTAAAGGATCAGCTCCATGTGATGCAATTACTGGAAAATGCCTTTGCCCACCTGGCATGACTGGGGACAGGTGTGACATTGGTAAGATGCTCAAATGACATCAGTCATTTCATTCTCACATTTTTTACACATGCTGGCCTAAAAGCAAAGCAAATTGATAATACAGAAGTGGTAGAATGGATTTTTTAAGAGGCAGGTTGGAATGCCATTTTTTTTCTGTTCTGCATATTTTTTTAAAAAAAGAAACCCTTACTGTAAGTAAGAACCTTGCACAGCAGATCTAGGTACTGGTGTCCTCGCAGGGTATATTCTTCTTTGCGATGAAAGGGAATGGTCATAGCAGGCTGAAGGCCACACCAGTTAAGAAGCTAGAAAACAACTTGATTACCCATTTCTTACAAGAACAAATCAGCCTGACATTCCCTGACCAGGGATGAGAAGACCAAGCTAGAAGCCTGCTCTCTTGTGCTCACTAAACCTCTTTTCCACGCTCAGCCCTGGGCAGGAAGCAAGCCAAGCTGAGACCACAGCCCTGAACATTTGAGAACACGAGTGACTTCCTGTACAAAGTCTGCAAAATCCATAACCTTTTGTGTAAAATATGTAATTATTTGCGTGGTGAGCATGTGGGCAGTGTGAGTGCAAGCCAGCCTCACTTGGACCTGCTCCCTGCTGGATATTCATGCAAATGCCCAGCCAAAGGTAGACTTAGGGCTGAAAGAAAGTGGGCTGGAGCCTGGGGAGCCAAACTGAGGAAATCCTCTAGATTCACACCCCCAATTTGGATTCATCATGCATTGCTACTCCTGACTGCACTGAAGCACCAAACTTTGTAATATCATTATCTATACATTTACTGTGACAGCCAGCAAGTTTAAGAGGGAAACAGAGAGGAAAACATGATGTCCTGGTATATTATTATTCCAACCAGTAACATCAAGGACAGGAACATGGCAGCCATTGGGTGGCCAATAGCAAGGCAAGTGGCCAATTACCACTTGTAATTGTGACCACACTAAACGTAAAGCCAGTGAAGGGCCAGACCCATTGCTAAGCAGAGAAGGTCCTTTCACTTGGAAAACCTCAACAGCTGTCTGTCATCCCAGAAAATGTTGCTATCCCAGGCCCTTTCTCCTTGCCAGCCCATCCATTTTTAGTAGGCAATAACTGAGTTGAAATGTGTGGCTCAGTTCTAACAGAAATGCTAACACACGTGTATGCATTTTCATTCTGCTGAAAAAGCAGGTGTGGGTACTGGCTTTCTATCCAGACCAGTATACTGGAGTCAAAATAGCTATTTGCTGACCCCTTTTGTATTATCTTTCTGTAGTCCCTGGGTGGTATTCAGTAGGACACGAGGGCTAATGTAGATTATTTACAGTAGCACCATGTAATTAGCATTAGCATCAGTATCACTCTTGGTAGAATTGACCTTAAGCGACTTGGAAAGAACATTCCACTTGGTGGAATTGCTCCTCTGGAAGAAGATCCCTTCCCACCCTCATTCTGCACACAGACACCAGAAAGTAACTGCAGCCATGGAATAGATTCCTGAATGAAGCTGCAGAGCCCTCTTGCAACCCTTAAGGCTCCTTTACCATCTATACTAGGTAGAAACTCAGATGGTCCTGGCTGAAGCAGATGAAGAGGCAACAGTGAAGTGTTGAAATGTGGCCTTGAGTACAAAGGGATGGAAGCGGACTGTTGCTTACCAGTTCAGACCCACAAGCCAGAGCTGAAGGGAAGAAGGATGGAATGCTTTTAAATGCAACCAGTGTGAATGAAGTACCCCAGAATATTGGAAACGTACAAGCTGAAACAGCCCAAGAACTAGAAGAAAGGAAATGACTCTCTTCCTAGCTTGCACAGACCTGTGGTCAGGATTCCAACAAACTCAGTCTTTCAGTTCTTGTGGTTTATGCAGGAACCACACATTACAAGTCAGTAAGACTAGATGAATTCAGAGAGCTTTTCCAGCAATGTATCTTGTTGTTGAGACAACTGGAGGACACAAGGGGGAAGCTCAGCACAGAAAATAAAAGTGCAGGTTCTACTATTTGCAAAAAAAAAAAAAAAAAGGGGGGGGGAGGAGAAAATAGGAGTCACTTTTATTTTCTTCTAAACAGCCAGTGCAACCCCAAAAGCTTAAAAAGCTGTTATGGGGCTGGTTTTATTTGCATTTTTATTTTCAATTAGGCCCAGTTTATCTGTGATATAACCATGAGCAGCTGTGACTGTGCAGCAGCTATAAAGATAAAAGGCCTGATTTTAATTTGAACTCTGGTAAAGCACCCATTAAACAACCATAATGTTAATTAAAAAAAAAAGCAAGAGAATATATAGCAGGTTTTTATTGGGTTGCTTTTTTCTGCTAAATTAACATTGCAGACTTTCAAACAGATGTCTAAAATTCACATTGTTATGAACATGAAAATGTGGTTATTACTTAAATTAAAATCAGGCCCAGAGGTGTTTGTGAGAGCCTGCCTCATAACATTCCCTTAATTGAAAGAGCTGAAGTGTCTGAATCCGACTAAAAAATTCTCCTCTGGGTGGGGGTGCTGATCCTAACTAGCCAGTGAATCATTTTTCATGATATAATAGCTCAGATGGTGAAAAGAAAAGGTCTTTTGTATTTATCATCATCCAGGTGAAGGAATGCATCCAGGGTTGGCTCCAGGTTTTTGAAGGCCCTGGGGCAAGACACCCCCAGGAGCACCCCCTCGCACCTCCCCCCCCGGCGAGTCTGCCTTCCCATCGCCCTTGCCAGCAGGGCCTTGGCCCCTGCCCCTTTCTCCAGTTGCTTGCTAGACTGCAAATGGATTCTCCCAAGGTTTCCCCTGCTATTTTCCCAGACTGGATCGGGGGCCCAGCCATGCAATTCCTGCTGCAATCAACTGCTTGGCACTAGGAATGGAGGTGTGGAGGCCCTGATCCAAGTCTGTGGAGAAGGGAGGGCTGATGCACCCCCATACACACATAGCAAGTAGCTTCTGGATTAGGACCCCTTGCATATACTCAGATAAAATTGAAAAAGAAGACATAATGGCTTGGAAAGTATCCTATAGTACTGCTGTTTCCTCATCTGAGAACCCACTGCTGGTGCAACAGATTTGTGCTTCATAAAAGGGGCTCAGGAATGAGTGGAAATTCTGAAGTTGGTCAGGACAATAGAATTCTGTGAGTTCTGCTGTTCTGCCTTGTTCCTCTAGCTTTAAGAATCACTAGTTTCCTATAGAGTTAGCAGAACCTCCCACTGGTATGTGAGCATCATAGAACACCACGACATCTCTGCTTTGACCCTAACTTTATCACCTAAATGAGATGGTTATATATTGTAAAGAGCATTGGCAAACTGTTTTATACTCATAGTATATAATAGTAATCTGAGCCATTTTGTGACTTTACATGGAAGGCAACATAGTTCCCACATCTTGCACATTTTTCTCAGATCTGGCATTGATGGTGCCACCGGAACCAGAAGTTCCTTTGGTGCTAGGGCAGTGGTGACCAGACCACAGAGGGAAGGTTTTTGGGTGGCTGCCATGCTATAGCTTGCCAACACAAGCACTGGGGTTCAGAGCAGCACTTCCGGCTCGCCACTTTTTGCAGTGACAATACCAAAAACTGCAATAAGCACAGCATTTCTAGGCTCATTAACTGCCTCCTTTTTAATATAGAGAAAAACTGACATGTTGTCTGATTGGCTATGGCAAAGCAGAGCAGCACACTCTGTATGTCTCTGAGGAGTGTTTATTAAGACTTTACCTAACCCATTTGCCTTCTTAGAGATACGCTTTCCTTGCAGTTCATAGAGAGCAGTCATCTTCCAGGTAAAAGGACTGGAGGTGGGCCTGGGAGACTTTCACTCAAGTCCATGTCTGCATCAAAACACTGTCTTTTTCTCATGATTTGTCATTAGGACTGCAAGCTTTTAATCAAGCAATTGGGATGATGACCTTTCGATGGCAGTTCAGAATGTGTTCCCCTATTAATTGGTAGCCCACACGGACAGTGTGATACCCTCTTCTTCATATCATGCATATTAACCAGTAGATTTATGCAGTCTTTTATTTTTGGTTTTCCTTCCAAGCTGGCAGGCAGCTCATCCTTCAAGGGGCAACAGTTTTAGTTCATTTTCCCCCTTCCTAAATGTAAGTCCAATGATTAACTTTAAAATTGCAGCATCCAGTGTAAATCAGCACTATAATTCTTGTAAGGCCAGGTTCATGGAACCCAACCTTCCCCCACTTGGTGCTCTCCCAGTATGTTTGAAATATTCCAGTACAGCTATACTGCAGAATAGCAGAAACATATTTTTCTCAGTTCAGCCATTAACAATTGCTTTAAAAATGAAAATAATTTTACATTTAGGAATAATGCCATCCCTTAAGGATCCTCCCAGCTTCCCCCTCGAGGTAGAACTATTCTTAAATTTAATCAGCTGCTTGCTTGAAAGGCAATCAGCGTACAGGTTAAGACTTCAATCCTGTATCCGTGTACCTGAGAGTAAGCTCTGTTGTGTTCCCTAAGACTTCTTTTCCCATAGATAATTAAAGATTGCACAGCAGATGCTTGAAAATATGTTAAGAGAATAGTTATTTGTTTTCAAGCATTCCTTGTTTTCGTACACTGTGTTTTAGAACATCCCTTTGGGAAAGAAAGAACAATGAGATGCTGAAATTAAATGGTGACATAAATATTTGCTGTGTGTCTCTTCTAGAGTGTCCAGCAGACAAATATGGCCCCAACTGTTCACAGCAATGCCACTGTGCCAACAAATCCCAATGCAATGCCCGCAATGGGAGATGCACTTGTTTCTCCAAATGGACGGGACCAACTTGTGAAGAAGGTAATGCAAGAGTCTATGCTAAATAGCTCCGTGGTACAAAAATGTTTTGCTTGCTTATTTTTGGTCTACTGAAAAAAACTGAAACTGAAAGGAGCCAATGGGGACTGAGTCTCTTGGAAAAGAAATATTGGGGACAAAGGGATGGCTGTCACTGGCCAGTGAAAAGAGAGTCTGGTGGCCACAGTCTTCAAAATCTTGTTGTTCAGTTGGGAAGTGAGCAGGGAAGGTGAGCTGAGAAAGAAGGCAAGGTGTGTAGAAGGAGTAAAAAAGAGTCAAAGACTGTTAATTACATTTCTTTGTTTTTTCCTCTGCTGACCATTCCTTTTTTCTTTCATCCTCCACAAAAGATGAACAAAGGGAATAAAAGATGAGACATATAGATATAAAAAGGGCCCAGAGGACCATCTCTGATTCCTACTGAAATGTTATTTTTAGCTACCCCAGGTAGCTAAGTGAGAACTGCCCACAGAAATCGGTGGAGAAATCCACAGTTTTAATATAGCTGGGACTAGGAAACAGTTTGCCTATCCTCACTACTAAGAGTTAGCTAACAAAATATAAAACAATCAAAATAATAGAAGAAATGGTCCTGCTGCTGCAAATGAGAATAGACTGTGGTTAGGAGATGATGGTTTCTGGCAACCCTACAGTTTAGTTCATGAATGGATCAACCCCATGAAGGAAGCCACAGCCTCGAGTTACAAGAACTGCGCAAGGCTGCCCTGGAGAGGGCATTGTGGGAGGCTTTCTTTCATAGTGTCGCCATAAGTTGGAGTTGACTTGATGGCAGGGAACAACAACAGGAGCAGTTCAGTCCACACCACATAGTTCAGCATGGCTTCTGAGTAGTTTACAGCAATCTCGCAGTGTTGTCCAGAAATATCATGCCCCCTGGTCAGGTTGGACTAAAGCTGATAGAGCGGGTTATAACATGCTGCACTGATATCCAGTGCTCTTATTCTCACATGCAAGTGAATTAGTATCAGCAGATGGGATGCTGTGCCAAAATTGAGCAGCTTATGGCAGCCCTATAATGCAGGTCACTCTTAATGTTACAGGTCAGGGATGGAGCTAAGGCTAGTTTGAAATCCTTTTAAAAATTCCTCTTACTTTGCAGGCAGCAGCAGCAAAAATCGGGCTACTTCAATGGCTCCCTCAGAGCTCCTCCCAGGTCAAACTGCATCAGTTGCATCAAAGACTAGTTAGCAGCTGCACAGATTCAAAAACTTGCTAATTTTGCACATGAAGCAACACCCCCATTAGAGCAGGTCTCTGATGCTACCATTTACTTTTCAGTTCCTACACCCAAGAGTTTGGTAACACCTGAACAGTAGGGATACAATGCATGTCCCCACTTCCAAATACATTAAGAGCGTAATGAATTCACTGCCGTAAGATGTAGATAACCACCATGCTTATATGGTTTTTTAAAAATGTGGAGCATTCCTGAGGATAAGGGAAAGTGTCAGTAGCTATTAACCATGGCTGTCAAACAGAAGCTTACATATTCAGAAGCAAGATACTGCCAAATACCATGTGCTGGGCACCAATTATGAGTGAAGGCTACAGTCTTCATCTCATTTTTGTGGGTTTCTCGGTGCTATCTGCCTTTCCACTGGTACAGCAAAGATGCAGGACTTGTCCCACAGTCCAAAACTGGTGAACTCCAGATGTTATGGACTGTACCTTCCATCGTCCCCAGCCAACCAATGGTGGAAAGGTGCAATCCGCTGCATTTGGAGGGGGGCTGCTTGGTAAAATGGTGATAGGATGATACTTGATCAAGTCATTCAGAATTCTTATATTCGCTACTATTTCCACTTGGGGAATGTATGCTTCATTAGATTACTGAAGTAAAAACTGTATAATCTGTGTTAAATCTCATAGAATATGTCATCTGGACTGCGATGTGTATTTATTTATCTGTAATTCTCTAGGTGGCCCTTCAAAACTTCCTTCATATGAAGAACAAACTCAGAAGAAATGGAATGCTTTTTCAAGATTACCACAACAGGAATACTTGGGCTAATAAATGAACTGTTTTATATGCACAGACGGTATTTAACTTTGGAAATGAGAGCTGCTATTCATTTCAGCTTGAACTGTACTGAAGAATTCACACTTCTTCATGCAAGTCCACAGTGTCCATTAAGTAGCTGGATTCCTTTTAAAAGTTTGTAGCTCTGTTCTGTTTATTTATTCTTGACCTCCAGCTTCCTTCTAATTAATCCACACTTAGTATCCTTTCCAAGGGTCCATCCTGCTTTTTCGTAAGTACAAAATACAGAATTTTCTCAACTTTGTCATCAGCCATATTAGAGAGCCTTACTTGAGTGGAAGAATTGTAAGGTCTTGTTTTCAAAAGAAATTGCACAAAGAAGTATTTGTATAAAGTTTTTTTTTTAATTATGTGAACCAGCTCTGTATCTTTTTCAAGCCAAATTATTCAAGTCATCTAAGGGTTGAACAATTTTTTAAAACAAATAGCCATTTCTTCAAGAAGAGCAGATATTCGGCAGAAGTCAAATATCTAGCAAAGAAGATCTGTATGCAGAAGCAGACTTCATACACAAAACCCTAAAAATGAAAATAAGGGACCAGCCAGCTAATTGAACCAACTAACTGGGATCTTTTCATCTGAATGAAGACATATATCACATTAGCTGTGAGAGAATGATCAGATCCTTGGTAGTTAAAATGTCAACAAGTCTGAAGGAGTGTAAATCTTTTTGAGTTTTTTTTTTAAAGGGCACATACTAGCTCGTCTGGGTTAAATAAGGCTTTGCATCTGTGAATTGTGGCAATATTAAGAAATGACAATGTTCTGCTAATTAATGAAAAACTATTCTGGTGCTAACAGTTTGTTGAAACCTATGATTTAAATGTTCTGCCTTAGAACCAATAGTCAGCCTCACTTGAAAATAAACACTGCCCAACCCTGAATATTCAGCAATTCATTGATGAGGTGCAATGAGCAGTTCCTTGCTTGCTCCTTGAAATGTTTTGGGGAGTCAGGTGCTATTATTCTGCATCCTCAGAGGTGACGCTCAGAGATAAGAGAGGTGCTGGTGCTGCACTCTCAGGAATGCTACCTTTTAGCAATCAATATGCCTTGCAGCAATTGAAAGGAAAAAGATGGTGATCTGTTAGGAAAAGAAAATCGAAAGCCATGGTTTCCTGGGTGCCATAAGATGTCATAAAGTAGTAAGCTAGCCTGCAAGTTCTCCAGAACTTCTCTTCTGGCTAGACGTTACACAAAACATAGCAGGAGAGGGATATGGGAATGAAGTCTGCAGTTTATCACAATCCATACTGTATAACTATTTTAGGACAGAATGTAGGAGATATGATGCAGACTTAATTAAACAACAGTGTACTAATTGCAAAGTGATTTCAGGTTCTACCAAGAGATTCAAAGGAAAAGAATCAGCTTTTTAAAACTGAAAATATACATGCCAGCAGTTACTTGAATCTGCCTCCCACACTAAGTATAAAGCACAGGTCCTTTGCAAGGCACACTAAAGAGTGCAACTCACACATAATGAGTACAGTTAATGAATACGCCACTGAAATACCCATCTCAAAGGCCAGTTTTCACATTTCTTGTTGGGAGCTTAAATTCACTACCATGTACCTCTACTGTGTTCATTTTGACAGGGGATGGTGCTTTCTAGGGAAGTTTCCCGTGGAACAAGTTAGTACGCTCCAGCACAATAAGAGTGAACCACTAAAACCAAATCTGCATTCTGCTCTAATAAATCCCAGCTTGCACCACATGGGGGCACATTCTGACAGCATACTCACCACACGTCGTTGACATGGTAGAATTCCTTTATGGATATACCCGTAAGTAATTGGGCATACCAGGGTAAATTGGATAAAAGATTCAGTGATACTACCCAAATCCCACAACATCTCCTGTCTGGCTTCATGGATACCGAAATGACAGAGCTTCTGGGATTCAGCTACTGAGTTTGAATATGCCCAACCCATCTAAACTATTGCTCTACTGCATCCCATTGCTTCTTCCTTCAGCCATAACAAGCCATACAACTTTTTGGTTAGCTTTCTGTCAAGTCCATGACATTGCCTAGTAAGTACTGCACCCGGAATATAGTTTGTACATAGTTATTAAGAGGAGATTCTTTCCCCTCTGAGCTTCCATTCAGTGGCTCTACGAAACCAAAGATTTATTGTTTACACCCAGTGAAGTCAATGGGACAAGTGAACTTCATGCCTTAAGCAGACCTTAAACTCTGCTTGCCTTCAACTCTCTGAATTGGAGATCAATACCATTTTCTTCTGTTCCATGACAATGCAGCTATAAAAGGGAATTCAAAGGTAATTAGAGTTAATTATCTTCTATCTCACTCAGGTAATATTTAGTTTGAGTTTGTTAGTCTAAAGCTCTGGATGCATGTTTCCCATTATGTATAGGTTTTTTAGTCAGTCACTCTGTTCAGATGGGATTTAAAACTGGATTATAATTCTCACAATATAGGACTGGTTGTTACTTATCTACTGTTGCTGCATGTTTTTCCTGTGTCCCACAGACATGTAATTTGTATATACACACACATGTAATAGTCAACATGGGGCTAAGAAGAGCCTTATCCAAAAAATGTAGCTTGCACCAGAGGGATTTATTTGCAGTGTTTTCACAAATGGGGAATGGATCTAAATCAGTGAATTCCAAAGGCACAAACCTTGTTTTAGTGCATTCTGTTTTGTAGTGAATCTTATTTTAATTGGATCTCACCCCATATGTTCTCTTTGAATTTCTTTACTACTCAACACAAAAAATGAAACATTGCTAAATTATAATTTCTATTTCATTTTTCTAATTCATTTCCATTGTGGGAAAGCAACCCATCCTTTTGAATTTTTAACTGTAAATAATACTGTAAATGTGATAAAGAATTCTGTATCTAGAATTCCCTTTCTAAGCTATAAATAAGGGAACAGTATTGGGGTAAAAGAAAATACGTTGACATTACTTTTCAAATAATGGTCTGAAAATACCATTGCTGACATCAATTTCTTCAAGTTTCTCTCCATGTTTATCATAATAAAATGCCAAAAAAGGAGATTGTATGGTTTAAAATATGGCATAAAGTGTGATCTGATGCATGTTTAGACAGAAAACAGGCCTACAACTCCCATCATGCCCCAAACAGCATGCTTTTTTCTGGCTAAACACACACCGGATTGTACCCTTAATATGTTAAATGGTCATTTAGCCATGAGGAAACTGTCCAGGTAGCGATTATGCATATTTTGTTTGCATGAGGCATATATAATGTATAGCTTAGATTTCATGAATGTGCCATAAATGTTAACAGACTTGTTTATACTCTGTTTTATAAGACTTCAGTATGAATTTTGTTCTAAAATAGTCTTAGCTTAATGCCAGCAATGAAAACAGTAAAATATATTACAAACATGCCTGGATAAAATCATTTTGTGAGCTGATTAGTTTTGAAAGCCTCTTGAAATCAAAGAATGCTATAGTGTCTCTTGTAAAATATTATAGGACTAGAACTCTATATTATATTTCAGAAATGCTAAGCCAGAAGGAACAAATTCGTCATCAATACAGGGGATGGAACAAAAAATGTCACTAAGGGTTTTACATTAAAATGTGTATGCGTGTTTAAAGGAAATTCATTTTTGTCACTATGTTCGCATTATTCCTATTCCAATTCTGAACAGCTCATAAAAAATGTTTTTTTCACTTTCTTCTGGTTTCAGCAATCACTGCAAACTGTACTGTCTCTCATGTTTTTGCAGTAAAATCTTGCAAGACTAACAAGGGAAGAACTGGGAAGTATCCATTTGCTTCAGACTCAAGATAAAAATCAGTCAACACATTCCCATCATGGTCTGCCCATCCTTGCAAGATTTCATTGTGACCTACCAGAGAGTATTTGTTACAAGGCTGCTGATCATGAGAACAGCATATTCCATAATTCTCTATCCTTGTGCGACTTCACTGCCACATCTTTAATTTTGAAGCTGGAACATCTGGTTTAAAACAGTCGAATGCAATTGCAAAAGATGGAGGGACAACTGAGAAATTGAATATATAAAGTAGCAGTTTCAGTCCATCTTTCCAATATAACATCTTTGTGAGTATTTAGAGCAACAGAAACACTTAGGGAATTGCATTTCCAGGATTCTGTGTAGCCATCAATTTTAAAAAATCAAACTTTACTTACAGCAGCATTCATTGTCAATGTCTGTCACTGATCTAAGTGTCGAATTGCCTTTGGAACTCACTAGTGGGAGATCGATGCATTTTTAAATTCCTCCCTCTGTACATCACTAGGAATAGATGGATGTTGTTGTTTCCCAAGGATGTGCAACCACACAGTAACAAGTGTGCAGTGGCTGTGTGAAGGAGAAGCTACAAAGCTGCACAAGAGAGATGACCTTGTGGAATTTCAACTTTGCCATCTTTGCTCAAAAGTGTCATTCCTTGACAGGGAGCTGAGCTCAGAGCAAATCAGAGCCAAAAAGCGAATGGAGTTGCAAATATTGGGGCAAGTCTGACTGGGGGGAAATGGAGTGCAACCCACCCTGCTGCTCCAAAGGTCCCTAAGAACATCCCGAATCCTCTCTCTCAGTATGGAAAACATCTTTGGTCCAGTTACTTGGAGAGATGACAAAGACTCCTGTCTCCCGCCTGCCAGGCCCGACACCTTGCGGATTTGCCACCCATTTAAATCCCAAACATTTTTATTTGCAGTTCAGTTCATGGGGACAGCAAAGCATGTTTTAGGTTATATTTCAGTAATTATAATGTTAACCTCATAGGAACACAATCAGAATTTTAAATATTCCCTGCTCCTCCCTGCCAGAAATTATTATTCCATTTTTATCCTTTTTATGTTGAAGAACCAGAGCTATTAAATTTTGCCCAGCTTTCCTGCCAAGCATATTATTTTGATTGGCTGCAGGTTTCTGTTTGCCTAAGTAATAACCAACACAGTACTGGAAGTTGCCAGCAAGACAGACATGGAAATTATACCTTCTTATTCCTTCCCTAAGAGCCAAAGAGACATTTTAGATGCATCAGTAGTTAGAATGTTACTTGTTTATCCCACAGGAAAAAGAAAAGATCATCCTGGGCACATTCCACAAGAGTGATTTTCTGCACAAGACCCACTCAAAGGGATAGGAAAACGATCCACGGATATTGCAACATCTGGCCTCTCCCGACCTTATCTCAGCAAGGATGCCATCCAGCCTCCATGTGCCAGCCTCGTTTCCCCTTGTCATGATGTCCATATGTTATCTCAACTACGGTTGAATACACACTGAGATGACCTTCTTGGTAGCCCCACTGGGGAATTAAGTGATATGGAGAGGCATCTGGGTTTTATTGTGAGTTCTCTTAAGGTTTATTCGGGCCAGAACAGCAGCAGATAAGGTTTTGTTTTTACTCCGTTTCGTGACACAATTGCTCAAGGTGGTAACATTCCTTCCAGTGAGTCATCTGCTTCTTCCTGCAAGCTATTTCCAATATTGTGTTAGTTATTACTTAGGCAAACAGAAGCCTGCTCTGCTGTCCTATTTGCCTTTTCTCTCCTTCACTTACCAAGAGCTTTTGGGCTTTCCTCTCCCTGTAGGTACACTTCCACATCTGAGGAGTTGTGCCTCCATCTGGAGCGGGATAACTTGACCTTGGTTAATCTATGCTTTGGTAATCTCTGAGCCAGGCTGCTCCAACACACTCTGTGTTACAACTACCACTGGGGCTGCAACTTGTGTAATACGTGGCAGCCAGGTTGATAAGGGGTTCCAAACATAAAACATATCTGATCTGCTTGAACTGGCCACCTAGATGTTTCCAAGCCTGATCCAAGGTGCTGGTTTCAACCAGTAAAGCCTTGCATGGCTTGGGATCACAGTACCTGACAGAGCACCACTGCTTATGCTACACTTCTCATTTAATGCTCTCCTCCAGGTGACCGTAACAAGGGAGGTGGCAACAAGGCAGAGAGATTTCTCAGGGGAGAATCATTTCCCCAGCAAGACCTGCCTGATGCCAGCATTGTTGTATTTTTGGCACCAGGTTAAGACCGTCCTCTCCTCTCACACACTTGGCAGCACATGATGGGGTGATTATGTAAAATTGCTTAGAAGCGTGTGTATGATTTTAATGGATTTGAATCTTTGCAAACTTCAACTATTCAGTGGTATAGAAATGTACGCACTGAATACATTGAATAAAGTTTGTCAGATACCCAAATCTTTCATGATAGGCAGAAAGATCCCAAACCAAACAATACATTTAGCACATGACAACTCCTCCCAAGCATCTGTTCATTTGTTGTTGTTTTTTTAGCAACTGTGGCCATGGGATGGGGTTGGGGGAGATCAGGATCAGAAGATGGCTCTCCCTTGCTCTTTTTCTCTTCTGTCATCATCGTCAAACCTGCTCTTTGCACCTGAAGGGTGAAGGAATCGGTGTTAGTTACAGGCCCGCTACAGATTCCTCCCTGAACCCGTGGTTGCAAGTCCTAAAACTGACAGTGCTATTCCAGATTTTTGGGGGGCCTTGAACAAGCTGCTTTCACTAGCCATCCCTTACTGAGCTCCCTTCTGGAATGAGGACCTTGGCTGATGCCCAGCAATGCCTACTCCTGATGGTAGACCTGAAATAAAACCAAGTCCAGATTTATATTCACGTGGTAAAATAGGGAGGCTTTTTCATTCTGGGTAGTTGAGCATATGGGAGAGGGTAAAGGACCTGGGCCAACCCCTGTGTGTTCATCAGAGAGCTTACATAAAAGGCTCCAGCATCTGAAAGGCATTCCCTGGAAAAGTGGGATAGGGAATCACATGCCTGGGAGAGCGTACGCATTCTATGCAGAGCTCCTTTCTGGTGGTAGCTGGGCTATCCACCACACTTCTCTCGTTTAAACACCAGTTAAGACATTTTTAAAAGACATTTTTATCTGTGCAAGCTCTCTTATGTTGCTATCAAAATTTAATTGTATTTAACTGTGTATTTGTGGTTTTAGAGTTATGATTGTAATGCTGTTTAGACCGAATGCTCACCAAGGCAGAAAACCCATGTCTGTTCTGTCTCCACTTCTCATGGACACTACAGTGCCATACCTCTCTGTACTAAATCCCTTCCACACAAAATACCAGGTGTTCAGGAGTAAGGTCTGCCGGCGGTCAGACTAGATGGCCCAGGAGGCCCCTTCTGACTCACTCTGTTTCTATGCTTCTATGTCTTAGGCTAGATGTTTTCCTAACTTGCAGATTTTCTGTATGCAGGACTTTGTGACTTTTTGGTATGGAGGGAAGCCTTTATTTGCATTTATCTAGCCATAATTATGAACTCAATAAAACTAGGATTATATAACGTTGTTCAGTATGTGTAACTCATTTCTTGTGCATGCATTATGCTGAAAACAAAGCAAACAGTTAATGGGCAAGTTTGTGGATATTCTGCACATTTCTCCTTTATTTGGGACACAAGTCCATGGTCTTCTGACATTGTCTGGGGGGGCACAGGGATCGGTGGAGCTGGGACACTAAGCACTGAGCCCCTGCTCTTCTCTCAAAGCCAGTGCAAAAAGAACGGCATTGCCTGCCCCCCAGTCAGCCCTGGGGAACAGGGAGAGGGCTAGGGTGTGCACCAGAGGAGCAGAGATGGGAAGCAGCAGAGATGTGATGAGGCTGGGGCTGACAGCTTAGATCACACCCAAGCGGTGCTCAGCCTCCTTTCCTTCCCCTCTGCAGCACAAGGTGGCACAGTGGGGAAGGCCGCTGCCACCATGCCTTGCGTCACGCACTAAATACGCATACGCATAAGCTGGTTCGAGTTCACGCAGCCAAGGTGGAGGGCACCGGATTGCACTCTTCAGACTGATGCACACGTCTATTTAGAAACTTAGTTTCAGCAGGACAGATTTGGTCCCAACACAGGTTGTAGAATGTGCATGCAGACATCAGAATGAGTGCGATCCAGCCAAAGCTAAGCACTCTCAAGTTCCATTCATGGAAAGGGCAGAAATTGAAAACATGTGCTTAATTCTCAGTCATATCGATACGATTAAAAGTAATTGGTTGGAGAGTTTCACATATCTTTAATAATGCATTGAGGGTAGATAGATTTGCCTTCCAATTGTGCAGCCAATATGAGTCTGGCAACTCTCATTCTGGAGGCCTAAGAAACACACGCTGGCTTACGATCCAAATGCAAGTAGATTCCTTCTTAGTCTTTTCTCCTGGGATGATGTTTATTACTGGAGAGAGACCAGAGCTTAGTTGCGTGTAGAAGGCCTCTGACTTCGTCCACAACATATCCAGTTGAAAGGATCAGGTAGAAGAAGCTGCAAAGACTCTGGAAGGGTAAAGCACAAAAAGTACCCACCTGGATAATGTGGCTACTGAAGTAGCATTGCTTTCTACCCTAACTTACTATGGACTTGTTTAAGCTAGCTAACATATCAATTCTTATTGCTAGGATTGAGTGGACTCTGTTATGCCAACTTTTCAATGTTAGTCATGCTATGTTAAAGCTGTCTTCAGTACAGAATGAAGCTCTTGTTTGTATCCTAATTCTCAGAAAGCTCCAGCCTTTGGCAAGCTTATACAAAAAAGAAGAAAAAACACGAGTCAATGTCCAGTCCTTATGATGAGAAGACGTCTCATCATCCACCCATTACACTGTGCCAAAATCAACCACTACTGTCAAGCTTTCATTTTTCCGAACACTAAAATACTTTTACGCCCACACCCCAGAGTGAAAGATTGTCCAGGAAAATAGTGAACAATTTAGAAAGTATTATCTTCAAAGGTTTGCAAGATTTTGCCACCAGGCTACTCTTCCCTGCCTCCATTCCCACTGGTAATACAAGTGGACAAAGCAACTTGATGGCAATTTGTTTTATGTATGAGCAAAGCTTTTGCCAGCAACTAGTAATGTATGTGTCCTTGCTATTTGGCAGCAGCAGAATTTAGCTGTATTTGCAGTCCCATTGAAGATTTATCTCTTAGAAACTCAATGATGCTAATATAATCTTCATTCCCTTAAGAGACTCCAAAATGATTAATAAGATCACCCTGAGATGAGTTGTGCCTATCTATGAGCTTGCCTATCTATCACAAAAGTCCATCATCAGCAATCCATCCTGCAATTAATACAAGGAAAAGGCTAATGCCATCAATGGGCCAGGGCCAGCCAACGTGCATCTCAAAGAAAAAGGTGGACCAATCAGGCAAAAACTTAGTCGATCATGTGACTTTGGTGACCAGAAGGTGGAACAGCCAGTTCGCAAATGGGCTATAGCTACTGCCCTCACCATCTGCTTATCTTTTTTTGAGTGCTGGAATGTTAAGATCCACATTTGAGTAGCTATTTTATGACAAGAAAGTCACTTATTATACAGTGCTCAGGCAGTATTTGTCTTCAGTGAAGAATTTATGCAGCTTTTAGTCACTGCTCTGCACTTTTTGAGTTGTCAGACATTATTATGGAGAAGTATACATATCACTATTACTAAACAGGCATTTTCCATCTGAGTAGACATAGATGTGTTAATTCTCTTCCTGATCCCACTGCCAAAATTACAAGATCTGCTGCAGGTGACACGCAGAATCCTCTCTCCCTCTTCATTTGCAGGGGGAACAAATACCATTGTCATTGTAACCATGTTGAAATCAGCCTTCTGCTAGAGCCACCTGTTAACAATCAGAAACTTATAAATGATTTGTGACTATTTTCCATGTATGTTATTGCTATACAAGCCCTCTTTGCCTCTTTCCACTACAAAAGGATGGAAATTTTGATCAACCTAAAGCATAAATCAAAATGAAAATCATGAAGCACTTAAAACTCCATATTGACTCCCCCTCATTAGTTTCTCTAAAAAAGCTTGGGACCATGCTTCAAGGACCGAAGGTGACTTCCAAAGTGATTGCCAAGGGTGGACACATGGGCAAACACATAGTATGAACTGGTCATCCATATGGCATCATGCCAGACCCTCCTGTTAAAGGCAGGGCTCCCTAGTGGAGCCTTCTCCTCCTGGAAATCATCTGGGAGTAATTCATGCAAATGACCCATTTGCATGGCACATGTACATGTGTATCCAGAGGCAAAATAGAATGATTCTAAGGTTTAATTCTGAATTCATTTTATCTCGCTGCAACTGGGGTTAACTTGAATAGATATATAATAGAAAATGTAAGAGGGTTCTTTTTAATATTAGTCCTACTTAGATTAAACCCATGGAAATGAGTGGATAAAATTCAAAGCCTTTACAATTTCAGGTGTGGCTTTCCCTTTGCCTGTGTCTCTACTATCAGTGGTAGTGTGGCCAACTGTAACCCTGTATCAGTTCTGCTCCTGAATATTCCTGCTTTGCCCGATCTGGGTGAGAATTGGTTCAGTTTGGTTTTGATATGAATTTATTAAAATTCACAAAATTCTGTAGTCAAAAAAGAAATAAGATTTTTAAAAAATGAATTAGGAGAAATCAAAATGTCATAGTCATCTATCCAGGCCCAAGGCTTTGAATGCTTAGCTCTTAGGGTCCAGTTGAAATTGCTGTGAGCTGAACCATGTTAGTTCTTAAGTAGGACCAACTGTGTGTGGATGGAGATGGTTTGGGAACACGTCCTAATGGAAGTTCCAACAATTCACTGTTCATCAGCGTGAGTAATAGTTTTTGCATAATAGTTCTTGCATAATATTATTTGCAAGTGTGGAAAGTAAAGCTGAAATCAGTTGGCATAAAACTTCCCCCAAAGGTTTTTGTGGGATTTTATCCTGTACTCTTTTTAGCAGTGAGAGGGTGCCAAACTCCATCCATTTATCAATTTTGATTTTTATATACTGCCTCCTTCCCATAGGCTCTGGGCAGTTTACAATAGAGCCTTCTTTAGTGTGACTTGCATATCACAACACTAATTTCTCAGTTGCTTGACCCAGGAACTGCACTTCCTATCCATGTACCCAAGCAATCTGTGTACATAATTATACTGTATACATAGCATTAGGACTAGTAGACACTAATAGTCTTGTCCTCCATGAATTTCTTCCATCAGCCCTTAAAAGCCATCCAAACTGATAGCCCCCATTAGATCTAGTGGGAATAAACACCATAGTTTAACAAGCCTTGTGTGAAGAAGCAATTCTCCCACCAACTAGTTTCATGGGATGATCCCCACTGGCTTTTAGTATTATGAGAGACAGAAAAAAATGTCTTCATAGCTACTTTGTCCACCTCATGCAATTGTTTCTCCTTTCATTTACCTTGCCTTTCACCTAAACAATCAGATAATCTTAGCACAAGAGCTGCTCCAGCTCCTTCATCATTTTAGTTGCAGTGTTCTGCATTATTCCAACTTCATAATATCTATTTTTAAGTATGGCGACCAGAACTGCACACAGTATTCCAAGCGAGGTTGCTTCATAGATTTGACATTGCAGTTTTATATTTCATTCCTTTCCTAATTATTTTATTGCATTTTTCTTTATGGATTTTTATTGTATAAACTTTATCATATGAATTGTATTATTATATATTGTTTTGGATTGTACAATTCCCAGAAGGCCTAAGGGAGTAGTTTATAAATGTAATAAATAGATATATCTAACTCAGAGTTTGCCTTTTTCACAGCACCCATTCATGAGGTTGACATCTTCAGCCAGCTGTCCACAGATATCTTTCTTGGTTAATCACATTGAATATAAAGTTGGGAGTTTTTGTTCCAACTTGCTTCACTTTATATTTGCATACACTGAAGTTCATGTGCTGTTTGACACCCATTTGGAAAGAAATTGGAGTTCTTCATAGCTATAATTTGATATGCTCAGTAAACTTGGCCACCTCACCGCTCACTCCTGATTCAAGATCATTTATGAACAAGTGGAAAAACAATGGTCCTTATACTGATCCCTGTGGGAGCCCAGGGTTTATACCTCTCTGCAGGGAGAATTTACCCTTTATTCCTACTCTCTGCTTTGTGTTTTTTAACCAGTTACTCTTCCATAAAAGGACCTCCATTTATTCCATGAGTTTGCTGATGAACCTTTGGTGAGGAATTCTTGGAAATCTAAGTCCAATATCTATTAGATCTGCTCTGCCAACATGCTTACTGACATTATCAATGTATTCTGAGAAGTTAAGGAGACAGAAGTTAAGTTAAGGAGAAGTTAAGGAGACATCTAAGGAAGATGTGTTGATTAATTCCAGGATAGTTTGTCCTTCCATATGCTGTCAATGGCTAACCATTTATGTCAAAGGGCTCTTTTATTTATTTATTTTTATTATTTATTTATTAAAACATTTCCATGCTAAAACATTTAACAAACACCAAAATCTTAGTTTTATCATAATTCATTTG